ATCAACAAATACATATCGATTCCAAATGGCAGTGGCAAGCGGCGTCAATACGCGTAAATTGGTACGCGTACAGGCAGTACTCTGCTCCTCTTGTTGTCTTCTTTCGCCCGTCCCTATCACAGTAGCAAAGCAAGTCGCGTCTCAGTCCTTGGGGTTGTGGGATCGATCCACGTCGCACCCAAGGACCAGTGATTCGATCCCACCCGTCCGTCCTCTTTTCCTCTTTCAAAATGGGGAGAATTTCCAGAGAAAAAAGTGTCGTCCCAAAATGGTGAATTTTTTTGAAGTTTGAATTCGAATTGGGCCTTATTCTAATCCAATTTCTCACCTCTTTCCCCCCGAAACGAACCCTAATCCCCCCTATAAGTACCTCATCCTTTTCACTATGAAGATGGATTGGAAATTTTTGATTTAGAGAAAATTGTTGGAAAAATATTGGTAGAATCAGTTGCCATTACAGAGAAAACATAGAGAATTATTAACTATAATCATTTACACACAAATATTTTAGAATAACTCTTAGAGGCAGAGGGGCTGATAGTTTCAAGCTCTGCTCGGGTCTTTATCCTTTTTCTTCGTTCACGTAAGTTCATCGAGTCGTCATGTGGTAAAAGAGCTCGTCCCTGCTCGTTTGTTGTCCAGTCCGCTACTGCGAAAGAGGTAAACTCTGACCCCTTCTAAGTTTCTATGGTCTTTTATAATTTGATCTTAGACGTATAAGCTTGGTTGGATTCTCGCTTCGTTTGTTTTGAATAGCCTTTGTGTTTGTTTGCCTCTAGTATGCTGCATTGATTGATTAGTGGCATGTTATCTCTCTCCCTTTGTTCTGTTGGAAATCTGTGGAGTCGCGAATGATGACTGCCCTGTTTTGTTTCAGTTCGAAGAAGGAAAGAACCCACATATTCTTATATGTTGTTATTAATCTAAGTGTATTCATAGTTTTCTTTGCATGTTTAGTTTTTTTGATCGTCTTCTTGAATATGTGTTAGCATAACTTGCTTTCTTCCTCATAATAGTGTTCTTATTTCCTATGTGAAGGTGATTATTGTATGTATGAGTCGTGTTGGTTATAATAGTTACTGGCTTGGTCATATGATTGTTTCTTTTAATTAATGTGTTAAGTAAAGGATTTGTCATTCTCATATCTATTTGGAATACGTGTGACCTTCATTTCCCATCCCTAATAAATTTTGATAAGAGTAAACATATTAGTGTCGGTCCGAATTTACGGATGAAATTAGTTCTGTCCTTTTCCTTTTGTGTCACTTCTTTCTCATTGATGTTCATGTGTTAAGCACGAAGTTTGGGGTTAGTGTTTTGAGTTCCTTTATCGCTTGTCAACCTGTTTATCCTTGCTTCATTCAAAAATGGTTATCTGATTCACTTTTCCTTTAATTATGAGCCGAAATTGTTTCTTAACTCAGGAGTTTTCCCTGTAGTTTGTTGATTTTCTCGAAGTTAAATTGCGAAGGTTGAGAATTATGTTTAGATATGTTTAAATGGTAGTTCTCCGTCATAGCCTCTTGTACTAAAGTGATTTTCTATTTGGCAATTAATTCATTTAAGTTCACTGTTGACATTTTTCTTTACCCCCCATTTAGTTGATATAATCCCTTTTATTTGTTTATTAATTAAGAATCTTTGTTAATTGAGCATGCACATCCCAATTTCAATTAGTTGCTTTTGGTCAGTTCTTTCTTTGAATACATGATTATAATCCTATGTTAAGAAGTGCCTTGGCTTATAGCCACGTTCCTTGTCTTCAAGTTGTACTGTGTGTTTGTCCTCCTTATGAATTAATTATTGGACCATGGGTGTGTCGAGATTTGTATATCTTTTCTAACTCTCTTCTTCTGTTGTGGCATGTGAAATGTGCCCGAGTTCACCATGAACTCCCATATTTTTCCTTGCATTTCGAGAGAGCCATAAAGGCCCAAACCTTTATTTTCGAGTCGGCCAACCTCTTTTAAACTGATGAACAGGTCTAAAAAAATGCAAGAATACATGTTTGATGAAAAAATACAAATCAAAGTGGATATACAGGAAAATGGACGTGAAATATGATCCGTGTATACGGGTATACTCTCAGGTTATATAGAATCTCAAAGGCGAAATGGGCCTAAAGCCTTAAATAATATACATCAAGTCCATATGGCAGAAAAAATGGGCCAGAACCCATTATTTTGGCAACTTTAGACTTAGGACAGGTTCAAGATTCGGGAATTCGGGCCAAAGGCCCAAATTTGATATTTCTTTCCTCACTTCTTATCTATTATTGTATCAACTGACAATTTATTTGATCTTTGGTTTAATTTAATTAATTTCCCGAAGGTAGTCGTTTCTCTTTAAATTCAAAAGTTAAAATATTTATTTTTCTTATATATATATTTTATTTATTACTCAGCTCTATTTTGACATTAGCATTGTCAACACTTAAGTTACTTCCCCTTAGAATGATTCCCCTTTAATTTATTTCCCCTTAAAATAATTAATCAGAAAAATAATAGTAATAAGTAATAAATAATAAATGAATTTCCTTCACTTAGTTAAAACTTGGAAAGTTTACTTGAAAAGTCATTTTAGTCAAATCACCGGTCAACCGCAAGTTAGTGGACATTTCGGGGGCCTAACACCTTTTCAGAATGTACATTTGAACTTAAACCCTTTTATTTTTAATTGATTTTATCTGTTTAAATCTTTTAAAAATCCTAACTTTTTTCTTGATTTTTTACTAAAAAATTAAGTGATGACTCTGTTTCTTTTGGAAATTCGATTTCTGTTAAACCATAACTTTAGTCGATTTTTCCAAAAACTCTGTCATTTTTCTTTTATTTAAATTTTAGAATAAAACAGAAATGGTGACTCCGCTTGAGAATTAATTAAGTTCTAACCATTAGATTTGACTTATTTGATTAATTGTTATTAATTGCTGAACTGTTTATTTGTGCTTGATGTGTTTAAACTGCTATAACTGTCATTGCATTTCATGACATTTTCTATTGTATGTATAGTATATTAAAGGACAGTTTTGCGGAACCGCAGCCGGACTTTTTTAGACTCAACCCTTTTCCGGAATGATCGACAATTTATTGGTTCGTCATGTGTCCAATGGTTGTCGTGAGTTCCAACCTAAGTTGTCCACTTGGGTTTCTGGTCTTTCAAAAGCCACTCTTAGTCAACTAGCGTAGAGCGAAACCAAATTCCAATTTTTAGCGCATTTTGAAAAAATCAACCCAACACCCAAGGCGTGTTGGGCCCATTAGAAGCCCACCTTGTGACTATTTGGCCCATTTGCCAATAAAAAGACAATTATGCTTATGTGTTTAAATTTGAAGGATGTATACGTCATTTGGCAAAATATTGTCTCTTGGGTTAGGGAGTTAGATTATAGCTTTATTCTAATCGAAGAAGGATCAAGTTATCATTGCAAACAAAAGTGTGGACATCTGGAGATGACAAAAATCAAGAACGAAGGATCTTTCCTTAGGAGCGAAGTTTAGGATTGTACCTCTGCGCGAGACTGATTATTTTGTATCCCATTTCCCCTGTTATGTATCCCCATTCAATTTTATTCATAAGGCTTGTATAAATTTGGGTTTTGGGGCAATGGAGTGGTCCAAATGATGTTATACATCCTTCAAATCGGTAGGCCTACCCTTGGCACAAAAGGGTCACATACATGTTTAGAACGCGCAATATTTGTTTATGTGTTATAACTGCTTGTGTGGAATATGTTGCTTTATTTGGAGATATTCTAGCTCACCCCTCACCGAATCGTTTTTAGAACCTCTAAGCACAAATATCAAGTCACTATCAAAGGTGCGTCCAAATGCTCTTCGAGTCTTTAGTTTCTCAAAAAAAAAAATATCGAATTTCATTTTTCAAATCTTACTCTCTCATATCAAAAATAAAATTAAAAAAATTCACCGTCTCAAATCGAAAGAGATTCAATTTGGTTGAACTACGTAGGACCTGAATTCTCCTTCGTGAGATACGTAGGCAACCTTTCAAGGTTCGGTCCCCATTTTTGATAAATTCTATCTTTTCCAACTCTTACAAAGAAATTGGAGTTATATTTCAATCGAAAATGAGAAGTACGACAATACAATCGACTTTGTCTCGACTCAAGTCGACATTTCTGATTCACTAAGGTCAAAATCAAATAGACAAATTTCTGTCTATTTAGTCATTTCTCTATATATGTGGGCTAGTTTATCTTCAAATGAAGCAATCCTTATGTGTTTAAAGTAATATGTGTGATATTTTGTACAATTTATCATCGACACAAACTAAAATATTTGTTTTTGAGTTATTTTTCTTTGTCAGGTACTCAAAACTGATCTGTGTTGAGAAAATGGCTGAACATACATACTTCACAAGGTCTAAAGACCCTAAAGATTCTTTTTCCGACCAATGTTTGTCAAAAGGCAAGGAAAAAGTGGTTGAAAATGTTTAGAATACTGATTTGACCGAAATTATTGTGAATGACCCTATCATGAGCAGAACAAGTTGATTGCACAATTATTCCAACAGATTGCTGAAATGAGGGTTGAAATGGATAAGACCCAAGATTTGACGAATTTGGCTATCATTGCCAACACTCCTACTGCAGACAACGAAAGGCCTCCACTCTATTTTCCTACTTCGGATCCAAAGCCTCCCATCATTGACTTAACCACCCCTAACCCACATCATGCTAGCTCCTCACACCAAAAGTTATCTTCTCCTCAAAATCCAAATACCAACATTTTCCAGAATTTTCCTCCGATCCATCAAATCCCTACTCAAATTGTCCAAACCCCATCTACCACTCAACCCATACCTCTAAAAACCGCATTTCATTTTCCAATATCACCTGAATCATACCCTTTCTCTACTACACATTTTGAACTCGATGATTGTGAGAATAAGGAGAAGGAGTGGAAGGTCATGAAAGGAAAGGTTGAGCAAATTATCAGAGAGGAAGTTATGAATGCAATGAAGGATACACCCTAGACATTATGGGGTTGAATTATGAAGATTTGTGTCCTCATCCATATTTGGAGCTTCCAAAAGGTTTTAAAGTACCAAAATTTGAGACTTTTAGTGGAGTTGAAAGTCCTTTTACTCATTTGAGGGCTTATTGTGATCAACTTATCGGAGTTGGGAAAGAAGAGGCTTTGTTAATTCGACTTTTCAGTCGAACTCTAAAAGAAGAAGCTTTGAAATGGTTTATTTCTAAAGAAATCAAGCAGTGGCCAAGTGGGAACGCTTTGGCTAAAGACTTCATTGAAAGGTTTGGTTACAATGTAGAATTCACCCCTGATTGATACTCTTTAGAGATAATAAAAAAGAATTCTACCGAAAGCTACCGAGAATATGCCTATCATTGGAGAAAAGAGGCTATAAAGGTTAGACCTCCCATGACCGAGAAAGAAATTATTGAAGTCTTTGTGCGCAATCAAGAGCCGGAGTACAACAGTAGGATGTTGCTCATTTTAGGAGGAAAGTTCAGTGAGATAGTCAAAGTTGGTGAAACTATAGAAGACGATCTCAAGACCAGAAAAATCATCCGAATGACTCCCCAAGATGAATCCTCGGGACCATTGAGGAGGAAGAGGGAAGATGTCTCCTCTATCTCATTTGAATCAAGCCAAAAATGAAAGAGGCATGCCATTTTCAATGGTAGAAAGCCTTTACCATCCAAAACCTACCCTTTGGCTCCACAAAATCTTTACCCCATCAAACCACATTACCAAACTCCACCACTGAATCATCTAAATTACCAAGCTTCATTGTCAAATTACCCAAATGCTCAATCAAGTTACCAAGCTGCATTGCCAAATTACCCAAATGCCCCTCATAGCTACCAAGCTCTACAATACCAAAATTTCCAAACACCAGCACTTACTTGCCAAAATCCTCCCAATTACCTCCAAGTACCTCCATCTTCACGAAATAATTACAAACTTTCTTGTCAAGAGATTTTGAAGAAACCTTCTTGAGTCTTTACTCCTTTGGTTGAAAGTCGAACCCAATTCTTTGAGAGATTGAAAGCGGCTGGTCTGATACGAACAAGTGATCCAAAAATTGTCAATGTCAATTCCAGACTTTACAGGCCCGATCATCATTGTGCTTACCATTCAGGAGGTGCTGGACATACCACTGGATTGTATCAACCTGAAGCATAAAATTCAGGACTTGATTGATCAAAGAATTGTCACTCTACAGGCTGTCACTTCCAATGCCAATGGTAATTCACTGTTGAATCGTGGAGGATTTGTTATTAACATGATTGACCCAAAGTTTCAAGCACCTCCCCGCTAGAATACTCTGAATTATCGCCAAATTCTTTCCCCTCAACAAGGCAGTTATGATCCCTCTTGTCCACGTCTTGAGGAGAAACCTGCTCAAAATTTTCCTCCTCTCATTGAAAGTCGGACGAAGTTGTTTGAGCAACTGAGTGCGGCAGGTATTATTCATCCGATCAAGCTAAAGCCAGTCGATACTAGCTCAAGATTTTACCAAGTTGATCGAAGGTGTGCGTATCATTCCAACAGTGTTGTGCATGATACTGAAGGCTATATTAATTTGAAGCACATGATCCAGAACTTGATCGATCCGGAAGTGGTCAGGACCGTTGTACCCAACATCAACGGTAACCCTTTGCCAAACTATGGAGGTGCCACTATCAATATGATAGAGACGGAAGATGAGTGGCGCATGGTAAAGGTGAAGGTTCCGATTGGTGCTAACAACCTCGGGAAAGTTGTAGTTTCACCGAGCATGACACCCCATCAAGCTTTTGCTTTAGTGTCAAGAGAGGGTCTGAACAAGAAGGGGATTAATCATGTTCCACCAAAGTATGTGCCTCATTTATGCCAGTCCTTTCTGGTAGGGGAATATGGCAATGATGACGATTTGGAGAAGGAATTGGGGATCTTTTTGAAAAAGGTGATGTTGCGCCCAAGAAGATGATCGAGATACCGAGCCAATTGAGCAAGTTCTTAATTGGACTTCCACTCCGCTGTTGATTCCTCATTCATCTTGATAGACAAAGATGAATCTTATGTTATTTCTAAACCGGGGGTAGTCCAAATGAGGCCCGAAACCCACCTTTTGCATTATTTTACCTATTTATGTTTTAATTTCCCTCGTAATGTTTTGAAAAAGGCAAAATGGCTCATGGTCATAGCCAAAGTTCATATTTCCTTATTTTCAATTAAAGCCTCTTCTATTGCGAAAATTTATTTTGCTTGCTTTAATTTTTTTATCTAACAGTCTTTGCTTTTGGTTTCAATAATTTTTTTAAAAAAACCTGTCAATATCATGTCACGTCACAAGCTGAATGAACAAAATGAGGTAGATGAAGATGAGTTTGAAGAGCATGATGAGGAGATCCTGATATTCGAATACCTCGTCAAAGATTTGAAACAGTTCGAGAATCAGAATAAGTTGAATACGGATGAGACGGAAACTGTAAATCTAGAAAAGGATGATTTTGTCAAATAAGTCAGAATTCAGGTCCATCTGAAAAAAGCTCAGAAAAAAGAACTCAACAATTTACTTAGAAGATACATTGATGCATTTGTTTGATCACATGTTGTGGTTGAACATAGACATTCATCTCAAGTTGTCAATCGACTCAGATGCTATCAAGAGTTGTTATATTTGAAGATTTAGAGTTTCTTTCATTTCTTTCCTTGTAATTGCATTGTTTGTTTGTAATCGTCTTATGTTCTATAGTTAGAAATTATCGCTTGTAATGAACTACGTTTGACCTGAATTCTCAATAATGAGATACGGAGGCGGCCTATGTCGGCCTTGGTCACCCCTTTATCCCTTTTAATGTTTCTTTGTATCTGAACTACGTTCGACCTGAATTCTCAAGAATGAAATACGTAGGCGGCCTATGTCATCCTCGATCGTTTTCTTAGTTAAATTTTCCTATTTATGTTGATCCTCGAGAGGGGGAACTACGTTTGACCTGATTCCTGCCTCAATGGAATACGTAAGCACCACAACAACCCGGTCATATCTCCCGTAAGATTTCTATTTTTCTTTACAATAGAAACTGAGACATAATTTTTTAGAGGGACTCAAATATTCTCAAGAAGAGGATCTCTACAATAAGTCAAGACTGAAGATACATTAGGAATAGCAACTGGGACAAATTTTTTGAAAGGGTCTCAAAAATTCTACAAATCATATATCAATAGTCCGAGATACATCTAATTGGGACAAAAAATAATAATTTTGAGGACTACCTCAAAAATTCCTTCAAGCATCACTAGAAGTTTGTAGTAAATTTTGATTATTTCAAGCATATTAGAAGTTTAAACCTAACTTCAAATAATCTCCGTAATCGTCAAAGTGCATGGTCAACAACAGCAATCTCCGACACCTTTGGATTTCAGAGTCAACTGCAAAATCTTTCAATTATAGCAGATGTCGGTAGGATTGTGTTAGAAATTTCCCAAGCTTTAAAGATTTTTGAATTCTCCAGAACAAGCTATCGGATACACCGAAGTTTTGAACCAAGGACGTTCATTTAAGCTATGCATGACATGACATTTGACAGTGACCTTTCCCAAGTTGATTTTGAAAATCTTTTTTTAGGCTTTGATATGTTAAACATTTCGTATAATTTCATCTTATGTCTATTGAGAAGCAAGAGATCAGAGTGATCAACCGAAGATAGCAAGACAAGGAGCAAGTGATAGGAGAACTCAACACTGATCAGTTTGTTTTAAAAAACTAACAATTTTTCTGTAAATGCAGGTTTATAAGTTTGCCTCAAGATCATCCTATTCCTCCATTCAATGAATATGGAGAAGTTAAAAAGGCGAGGAACTCCCCAAAATTGACAACTTTTCTGTGGATGCAGGAAAGTCATTGAAGTTTTTTAGAAGAAAAGAAATAGTTCAGAATATGAGCAACAACACCTCGTTCAAATTCCCAGCAAAGCATGAGTCACAATGAGTACAAATGTTCTAATATGAACAAGTGAAAGCATCACTCTTAACATGTACAAGCATCTACAATGACATCAAATTAGATTTTTCAGCATCAAGAACATTTAAAGAAAATTCACAAATCGAATCAATATTAGACGCGGTAATGTGAAACCTTCTTAGAGGGACATTTCTATAGTATTATCAAATGAGATATTACGACCACCCAAAGGGACATTTCTACAGTATTATCAAGTGAGATAGTACCACCACCCAGAAGGACATCATCGTCATTTTATCAAATGAAGAATCATCATTCTATCAATGAAGCATCAACATCATCCTGTCAATGGATCAACATCATCCTACCAATGGATTATCAACGAAGCATCATCATCCTATCAATGGAGCATCAACATCATCCTATCAATGGATCAACATCATCCTACCAATGGATCATCAACGAAGCATCGTCATCCTATCAATGAAGCATCAACATCATCCCACCAATGGATTATTAACGAAACATCATCATCCTATCAATGGAGCATCAACATCATCATGTCAATGGATCAACATCATCTTACGAATGGATCATCAACGAAGCATCGTCATCCTATCAATGGAGCATCAACATCATCCTGCCAATGAATCAACATAATCCTACCAATGGATCATCAATGAAGAATTATCATCCTATCAATCGAGCATCAACATCTTCCCGCTGATAGATCACCAATCATTATCCTATCAATGGAGCATCAACATCATCACCTATCATGTAGCAGCATTATCCTACCAATGAATCATCATCATCCTATCAATGAAGCATCGTCATCCACATCATATCAAGTCATCATCTATTGCGTCAAAATCGATGGAGGCTAACGTCAGAACATTTATAGGAAAGAACATGCATCGAATACGGTAAAACATATTACTTCTCTATTTGAATTACGGTTTCTGCTAAGAGGTTTATTTCATTTTTTGTCGAGAGCATCCAAGAGGATGAATTCTCAAATTAAACAACAGGTGCATACGACATCAAAAAAGATGCAGCACAACGTGGAACTTTTTCTTAGTGCGAGCTGAGAAGCGATATTTATCGAGCGATCCACCTCGTTACAGTTGGATAATTATCGAGTCATTCACCTCGTTACAGTTGGACTATTATCGAGCATCCACCTCGTTACAATTGGATATTTATCGAGTCATCCACCTCGTTACAGTTGGATAATCATCGATCCATCCGCCTTGTTACAGTTGGAAATTCATCAATCCATCCACCTCGTTACAATTGGATAATCATCGAGCCATCACTTTGTTACAGTTGGAAAATTATCGAGCCATCCACCTCGTTACAGTTGGATATTCATTGAGCTATCCACCTCGTTATAGTTAGAAAATCATCGAGTCATCCACCTTGTTACAATTGGATAATCATCGATCTATCCACCTCATTACAGTTGGATCATTATCAAGCCATTTAGCTCGTTGCATAGATCATCAGAGTTTGTCATTCATAAAACAAGCAATGACATTTCCAAATCCTCAGCAAATCATGAGTTGTAATGGACATACTATGTTAGAAAGCGGTATCTGTTATCTTTTACTCTCAATACTTCTTTATTTTCTCATCTAGTTGAAAAAGATGTTTATGCTTATCTGATCCATTAAGATATACTCATTTGTTATATGAATGATCTTTC